CAAAATATTCTGCAGTAGGATGATTATGCACACCACAAACAACTATCAATATCCAGTCATCATTTGTGGCTAATTTTTTGCCCTTCAATAAAAAAGGACATTCACATTTTTTTTGTACCAGGCAGTCTTGCTTTTTTTATCTTAGGCTTGTTGTTTTTTCAAGTGTCCTTATAAGATCCACTCCTCTCATAAGCTATGCTAAGTCTTAGCTTCCTACCACGAATACCACCCTCATCTGATTTCTGCACGACAATAACGAATCCATTTGTTCTTCTAACTTGACGTGCCTATCGGATTAACTCATCTCAACTCTTGAATATCTGAAATAAATAAATTAAACTAACCAATTATTGCACATAAAAAAGATACATTATTTGTAAAACAATCAAAGACCCACTTCATGAGTAATAAATTCATTACTATAATTTATTATAAGTTCTGAATCAACCTTACTACCTCTAGTCGAAGCATCACCCTAAAAACAAGTGTGAATGTAATTTCAAAATTGAAAAAATGATGTTCATTTCAACAGTCCCCAAACTAATGGTTTTGTTCAATTTAACAGTGCCAAAAATAGAGATGATATTTGATTTAACAGTACTAACTATCTGCATTAATATTCGAAACTTATGTATTGAACGAAAGGATTATGTTCAATACTGTATTACTGAACATAATCTTAACAGTCGAAAAACTAATACTGAATAGCTCGAACAAAATAAGAACTACCGAAAATGACTGAGAATGTTAAGACAGATAAACTTACCAATGGAACGCTGATCTCATTAGAATTGTTGTCTTCGTCCTCCATTGTTCTACATAGTGAAATAAGTAATGAAGTATACGTTATACTTGAAGCAAAACTTTCAAGTTTAATAGGGTTGATGATGAAGATGACACATTCAGGGTTTCAAATGATTATGAAAAATAATAGATTTAGGGTTTATATTGATTGGTTATGAAAAGTAATAGGTTTATGGTTTAAAAACATGGAATACGTATAGTTGGAGTTGGAGGTGGGAGTGGGGGTGAGGTTGGATGTCCAATATTATAGAGTATTAGTTCTTATTTGATAGGTGGGTGTTCCGTTAAATAATGTCTTTTAATGTAATTTTACTTTAAGGTATAATTGTAATAAAAAAAAAATTATAAAATGGAAGTCTAGAGAATTTTGGCAGGTGCTAATAGCAGCACTTTTTTATTTTTTTTTTTATTACATGTTGGGCATTTTTTTGAACATTAATGTTTAATATTTTTGTATTTTTTGTTAAGTAAAAATTATAGTTTTATTTGTTTTAATGGTTTATATTTCGTTTATAGGGTAGTAATTTAACAATCTATATACTAACAACTATCATCAAAATAAATATAATTTTACTTAATTTCTTTACTATCAACTCCTTTCATTCTACTTTTGAAAATAAACGGCCGCTCAAATCCAAACGAGAGACTAGAGGGAATCCAACTCTATGGAGGTACTTACCCAAAAAACTCTATGGAGGAAAAAAAAAAAAAAATTGAACCAAAATAGTTTTGATTATTCTTTTTTTTGGGTACAGCGGAATAGGAAAAAGAAACAAAAGTAGAAAAGAAACAAAACAGAGGCACTACAGCCTCCTATAAACCACTCTCACCATATCGGCAAGGACTTGGCTACGCAATACAGCAGGTGGCTCCTCCACAACCACTAGAAATTCAGCTTGATCAGCTCCCATGTTCGCAAGAATGTCTGCACATTGATTAGCTTCCCTCATGATATGCTGAATGGGACAGCAGCAGCGTTGCAGCAAGTGGCGAGAGTCCTCAATGATGCTACGGAATGAACAATTTGGAGGTGGGCCTTTGGTCAGAAGCTCCTCAGCCATAGTAGAGTCGGTTTCAATGATACCTTCACGGAGTCCTTTCTTCAAAACAATGGTCAGGCTGCGATAAATGCCCCACATTTCAGCTTCGAGGCTAGAACAGTTATCGAGCTTGCCAAAGAAATCGGACAGCCAAGATCCTGCTTCATCTCGAAAGGCTCCACCAAAGCCTCCATCCCCTGGATTTCCTCGTGCACACCCATCAGTATTGAGCTTAATTTTCCCTGAAAAATGAGGAGACCATTTAATTAGAGGGGTTATCTGTGAGGTGGAAGTAACATTCATACTAAAGGCTTGCAAAATCTGGTTAGCATAACTATGAATAAGGTATAAAGACTGATTCAAAATGGGATCCACATGATCAAAAACTTTTTTATTCCTGTCAAGCCAAATTTGCCAAAGAGAAGCAATGAAAAGAAGATTCCAAAAAGGGTCAACAAGCTGCCGAGGTTTCAAATTCTTTTTGATCCAAGAGGAAAGACCCAGTTGACTATCAGCAGATAGCCACGGGTTACCAGCCACATTGCTCCAAATAGCCTTAGTGACCACACAGTTTCGAAAGATATGCTCATTATCTTCAGTGTGGAAACCACACCGAGGGCATTCCGCATTATCAGACAATCCTCTTCTCATTCTCATATCATTGGTAAGAAGCTTGCCCAGAAGGATCAACCAGAGAAAACATTTAAGTTTTTGTGGAATTTTCAGTTTCCAAACCCACTCAAAATCCATATTCTCATCCATTTGATTAGAAGCAATTCTACAAGCTGTAGCAGTGGAGAAACCTCCCCCAATAGACCCCCTCTAATGAGGACTATCAGGAAATGTAACAAAACGCGGTAGCGTTACTTTCAGAACACATCAGAGAGCCTCACTGGGTATTTTAGTGTGGACCACATCCATATCCCAGTTATCCTCAACATCTAAAAGAGAGGCCACCTTATCAGAAGTTATAAGAGGATGATTGGGGAAAATAGAAGCCAAAGCCTCATCACCACACCACCAATCATACCAAATGGAAATACGGGAACCATCACCCACACACCATTTCACCCATTTCTTCAATATAGCTCTAGTTTGGAGAATACCTCTCCAAATGTGAGATGCAGACTTTTTTTTAGAATACGAGAATAAATCACTGTTAGGAAAATATTTAGCCCCAAGGACTTTAACCTAAAGGCAGTCCTCCTTAATCAAAATTTTCCAACCCAACTTAGCCAATATAGCCAAGTTTTGAGACTTAGCCCTTCTCAGGCCAAGCCCCCCCCCCCCCATCTTTTTACTTTGGCACACATTCGTCCACTTCACAAGATGGACTTTCTTACTAGTATCAGTATCTCCCCAGAGGAAGTTACGGTTTAATTTATCAATATCATTGCAAATACTCCCCAGAAGAGTAAGAGTTTGCATAGCATAAGAGGGCAAAGCAGATGAGACAGCTTAAACCAGTGTAGACCTCCCAGCCAAGGATAGCAAGTTCGATTTCCAACTGGAAAGTCTACATTGAATTTTATTCGTAATAAACCGAAAGAAGTGACGATTACACCTCTTATGGATAAGAGGGATACCAAGATATTTTCCAAGATCAGAAGTCAAGGAAATGCCACACACATTACTAAGACTCCTAGCTTCATGGCATGTAATATTGGGAGAAATGAATAGTTTAGATTTAGCTAAACTGATCTTAAGACCAGAGGCAGCGCTAAAATCATTTAGCACCTCCATAATGGTATTACAATTACTCACATAAGCTTTCCTAAACAATAAGAGATCATCAGCAAAAAAAAGGTGTGAGATGAGAGGCCCCTTACAAGAAGCCTTAACACCCTTCCACCTATTTTGATGAACTTTCTCAGATATCATATTGGAGAGTTTCTCCATACATAACACAGAGAGGTATGGTGATAGGGGGTCACCTTGTCTCAACCCCTTCTCTATAGGAAACTCCTCAAGTTTCTCACCATTCCATAGAACCGAAGCTTTAACATTGGTAACACAATTCATAATCAATTCAATCCAATGATCATTAAAGTTAAAATCAACAAGGGTCTGATAAAGGAAATGCCAAGACACGTTATCATAAGCTTTTTCTAAATCAATCTTCAAGATCATATCACCCCTCTTGCCCTTAAGCCCTCTGAGCGTATGAATGATCTCTTGAGCTATAATGATGTTATCACAAGTCATGCTCTGAGGAATAAAGCTGCTTTGAAAAGGACCAACAATACTGGCTAAAAGAGGCCAAAGCCTACAAACCAAGATTTTAGTGAGGGTTTTATACAAGACATTACAAAGGCTGATGGGTCTGAATTGATAAATAGACTCAGGATTATCAATTTTAGGGATAAGGGTGATAAGGAAGTATTTAAAATCATCAGGGACTCTTTTAGAGGAGAAACAATTCTGAATAAACTTACACACGGAAGGGCCCACTATATCCCAATGAGTATGGTAAAAGATGGATTGGATACCATCAGGGCCAAAGGCTTTGAAGGCTTTAATGCTCTTGATAGCATCCCACACCTCTAAATCAATAACAGGTCTAGTGATGGCACGGTTGGAATCAAGGCTAACTTTCAATTGCAAGATGGTAGAAACACGGTGAGATCTCAGATGCTGATCGGCTTAGAAAAGGGACCCAAAAAAAGATTGGACATGGTTTTTTAAGATAGAGGACTCAGAAATCCAGGCCCCTTGAGCATTTTTTAGGGTAAACACCCTGGATCTTCTACGCTTGGCAATCGTTGAAATGTGAAAAAACTTAGTATTACGATCCCCCAAGGAGATCCAATTAGATCTAGACTTTTGGTACCACAATAACTCTTCTTGATACAAGATGGTATTAAACTCTTTATCAAGATCTTTTTCAAGAATAAATAGATTATGAGAATACTTAATGGATTGGGATTTTTGGATACCCTCAATTAGCCCCAAAAGCCATCTCTTTTTACGAAAAATGTTTCCAAAATGGGTTTTATTCCAAGAAATAGCATTTTTAGTAAGCAAAACCGTGGCTTCGGGAATCGAATTATGGCTAGTGCTCCAAGCTTCTTTAACAAGTAACTTAAACTCAGGATCTGTGAACCAGGCAGCTTCCATACGGAAAGGCCTAGCAGAGGGAGTGAGAGAAGACATACCTTATGTGTACACAACCATAGGAGAGTGGTCTGAGTAGGTCCGAGGAAGATTACGAACGGCCCCTTCAGTGAAAGCAAGGCGCCACTCAGAATTACAAGCTGCTCTATCGAGTCTCTCAAGGGTATTAGCCATGCCTTGTCTGCCATTAGACCAGGAGAGATGAGGTCCAGAGCATCCCAGGTCCATAAGATTGCATCTATTCATCCTTGCATTGAATTTTTGGGTCCTAGCTTGGCTGATATTAGTAGAAAAACTTCTCTTTTCACTTAGGGATGCAATATCATTAAAATCCCCTGCCACCAACCATGGAGAGGTCATATTATCTGCTATAGCTTCCAAGTTTGCCCAAAGAAGGTCCCTGTTTCTGCGGTTGAGGCTGGCGTAGATAGCTGAAAGAATCCAGTCTTCAAAATTATCTCTTTGAACTTTAGCATGAATGAACTGAGCATTGACCTCTAAGGGTTTCACCGTCGCCCGAAAGGGGTCCCAAAGAACCCATATACCACCACTGCGCCCTACCGAATCTACATGGGAGGAGGCTGTAAACCTCATTTTGTTGAAGAACTGCCCTAAAGAGCTCAGTTCCACCTTTGTTTCCATCAGGACCAGGATAGATGGCTTGTGGGTTTGAACAAGCTCTTTCATGGTTCTTTTAAAAACTTTGTTGTCAGCTCCTCTACAATTCCATATAAGTAACTTCATTGACATAGGGTTAGGAAAGGACGGAAGGGGACCGAAATCAGGGGTTCCCAAAATTTTCCTTACTTTCAGCCGATCGAATACATCGGAGTTGATGGAGCTCAGCTTGACTATGGTGTTCTTGCTGCCATAGGGATTCATCTTTTCTCTCTCTATTATGAGGCGAACTTCTCCAATCCACCAAACAGAACTTACTAGGTGAGTTGCTTCTTTCTATTGATCTAATGCAAGGTAGATCGTACTGAACTGGATTTTGTGTTGATTCTCTTCTGGTATCTCCATGTTTCTCAGCACTCGAAGGTTTGGAATTCAACAGCTCAGAAGAAGAGGAAGGAAGGTCTGGGGGTTTCTTATTTTGAAGGATAAGGGAGTTCGAGTCAAGGGTGGGGGACTGAACCAAGGATGAATTTCCAGCCGCAGGAAGCTGAGGACAGGGAGTAGGTCTAACTGCCTCCGAATTTCCCATCAGCTCATCTGTACACGCAAGAGGTGCATTGGAAATGATCATTTCCTCTGTACATGCTAGAGCAGAAAAGCTATTCTGAGAGGATACCTTTATATCAAAAACTGAACTAGAAGCAGCGGTTTTATCACAAGAACTGGGTGTGGGGTAGGGATGAGCTAGCTCCTTGAGTCTTGTTTGGCTGAAGTGGTCTCCCTTGCCCCTTGGCATGCGCTTTCCCTTTAAACCCAACTCTGGTCTCCAATCTCAGCCCAACACTATTCGTAGGGCCTTTCCTACTCACCAACATCTATGGACCAAAATTATCGGGGTTTGTAGCAATATTTGGGTCATTATGAGAATTGGGCCCATCTACAGATTACATGGGCCTCGCCACCTCCTCTATTCCAACGGTCGAAACATGACCTAGAGCTCTGGCTGAATTGTTGTCACCGGAAATCTTAGTTGGAGTAGCAGCACAACTCCCTACTCGATGACCGACTCTACCACACCCGAAGCAAAAAGAGTGTACATGTTCATACTCAATACCATAAATATACTTACCAATCGCAAAACGGGACAACAGAGGCTGACTAAGATCGATTTCAATGCAGACCCTGGCAAACTTTCCACAGGAAGAAGTAGCTGTATTGATGTTGATTTTAAGCGGTTTCCCAATCGTCTTAGCAATGTGGAAGAGAACCTTTTCATTATAATATTCAATGGGGAGTAAAGGAAATCTAACCCATATAACAGTGGAAGTTTCTGAAGCCTGAGAAGATTTAAAATCTGGCGTCCACTTTCTCACCGTGAGATAATGATCAAGAATAATCCAAGGACCACTGGTATAAACCTTAGCACAATCCTCCTTCATTTGGAATTTAATAAGAAAGAAACCAATCCCCAAATCATCCGTAGAAAGGCGATCAAGATCATCATCAAAAGCCCTTTTGTTAAACCGTCGATTAGTGAGAGCCTTATTGAAAGACCTAATCGCAGGTGCTTTGGGGAGCAGATCTGGAGCATTAAACCCCTGCATCAAAGGGGGATCAGCCATGTTCTCATCATCCAGATCGCCATTAGCCTTGAGTTCTTAGTGCTTTGTTGGAGGTGATCTTGCTCCTTGGGTGAGGCCACCTTCAAATCGCCAAAGGAGTCGTCGTGTGTTTTCGTATCCGAATTTTTAGAACGGCTGGATGGACTAGAGAGTTGCTAAGAAAGACCATAATCTTCGATGAAAAGAAAAGAAATGTTTTCATGTTAGTTTTGATTGTTCAAAGAAGGGTCTGAAAGGGAGATTTTGTCATTTCAAAAATCTCAGATGAAATTCTAGTCACTGTGTTTGGTTTGAGTTTTTTAGATTAAGTTTTTTGAAAACTGAGTTTTTTGATTTTCGTGTTTTTTTTTTTGTTTTTAGTGAATATTTTTAAAATTTTAAACATTTTTTTTTACTTTTTTAGATACACCTTACTTAGGTGTGTCTAAAAAGTAAAAAATTTGTGAAAAAATATTTTAAAAAATTAAGAAATACATAAAAATATAAAAAATGTACTAAATTCTTGTATTTTTTTTTGTATTTTTGGTATTTAGTGAATTTTTAAAAGATTTTTTTTACAATTTTTTTACTTTTTAGGTGTATTTATGTTAGGTGTGTCTAAAAAGTAAAAAATTTGCATAAAATATTAAAAAAAATTCAGTAAAAACAAAAAAACACGAAAAATAAGAGTGTAAAATTTTTTGAAAACTGTTTTTAAAAAATGGGAACCAAGCAAAGTGAGTTTTATCAAATTTTATAAGGTAAAATATAATTTATTCATAAATTAATTATTAATTCCGACAGTGAGGCCTCGTTTGGGAACAGACTAATTTAGTAATTTTTTAACTATTTGGCTAAAAAAGTAGATAAAAAAAATTTATATGTTTGGAATGATTTTTTAGCTAATTACGAAAAGATTTGTAAAAAATAGTGAGAAAATATAATTTTTAATTTTTTAATATGAATTTTTGATTTTTTGACTAAAAAAATAATTTTTTAACTTTTTTATTAAAAAGGTAAGTCCCGAACGAAGGCTGAGTAACACGTTGGCAATATTCCCTAGTTCATTGCGTCTTCGTCACTCTGCCAACAGTCAGAGTGTTCATACACCCCTTTCGAAAAAGCAATCTCTTCATCTTACTAATTTAACATCCATAAACAAAGAAAACCCGATCACCCAGATCTAAAACCATCTCAACCGTCCGATCAACTCTGAAAAAATGGCCGACTCCGACTCGGCTCCGACCAAGTTCAGCACCAGCATCCACATAACAGCTCTCGATGGAATCGTCAACGTCAACTCACTCTTCACCTTAGCCGTCTTCATCGGCTTGGCTTGGAACCCCTACGACTCCTCCAACTGGCTCATCGCCGATCAATCCTGCGCCGCCACCCCCAAAATCGCGGAGGACCTCGTCACCTTCCACGTCTACTCCTTCAGCTCCTTCCTCTTCTCCAGCCTCGTCGCCTTGGGCATCAAACAAGCCATTCGGATCTCCAATTCGGGTAACCAAACCCGGAACCACCGCTCCTACCACATCAGTGACCTCACATTCGATCTGGGTCAAATCAATCGGGGCGTTCTTCGGGTCGGGTACTTGGTTTCGGCTGCGGGTTCGGTTTGCGGGTGTGTTTTCCTCATGTTGGCTTTGGTCAACGTGGTGCAGATCAAGCTTGGGACGTTGGCTTGTGGGAGCTCTCATAGCTATGGAGCTGTCGTTCCTCTCGTGATCTTGGTTCCCTCTGCTCTTGTCATCTATGTTTGTGCTGTTTTGTATGCTTTTACTCGCTAGGGTTTCTTCTGGGTTTTGTTGATAGGGTCGGATTTTGGATTTAAAAAGCGATTTGTTTGAATTGAGAATGTCGTGTTAATGGAATTAGATATTTCTGTTTTAATCCAAATTTGAGTCCCAATCTGCTGGTATATGTGAAATTGTATATATTTGAATCTATGGAGAGAGATGCATTTTGTTTTAATTACTATTAGTGTATTTGAATGTAGACATTGCCTTAAAAATTGTGGTGGTACCAAATGTTAAAAACTGCTAAAAATCAAAACAAACATAATGTTAGTGTCCGGTATGATGGAACATTAGTGTAATGATTTGTGGTGGAATAGAGCCAAAATAACTTGGTGATGGTGATAGCTGGATATTTATGTGGAGTTCATGGGTTTCAATTATTGAAGCTCTCTTGTTTTCTTCTTGAATTTTTAATAGGTGCTTATATAAAGTTTAGTGTCTTTTGTTATGAGATGGTATGCTGTTAAAAGTTGCTACCTGCAATTGAACCATGTTCATATCCCTATCATATTATATTAGTCGCGAAATTTTGTAGTAAAAAATAAAAAGGTAAAAAAGAAGAAGGAAATTGTGAAGTAGAATTCTTGTTGTGACCTGATTTGTCACAATATATTTATGATATAAAAAACATATCTAAATTGTGATGTAGAACTCTTGTTGCAACCTGAGTTGCCTTTGTATATTTGTGGCATGAACCTATCAATGCGTAGGTACTTATACTTTGTAATATTACAATCAACTTGTAATGATGCATAGCTGTGAGACATGGGGGGATGTACTATTTGTTGGATGTGAGGATGAGCTTCCACTTTGAGGTTTAAGAGCAAGGAGATTGCCTAGTTTGGGAGTTTATGTGGTCAGGGTAAGAATCTGTAACAATGTTTTGTAAAGTATGAAAAGAAAAGAAAACTTTGAAGGCAGAAAAATGAATAGAACTTACAAGTCCCTTCAGTGTTGAACCCCAAGGTATAGAAAAGAACTTCAATTTTTGTATTTGGGGAGCTGCAAGCATCAGCCTCTCTTCTTGGGCAAACCAATGGCACCAATTGCCCTGTTGTTTTTATGTTTGAAAATAGAAAATTTGAAAAAAAATAATTAACTGCTTCACTTATGAACCATGGTTATTAGGGGTGCTCGCGGATCGGGTTGAGTCGGGTGGCTTCTCATCTACCATCTGTTCGAACTTTAGCGGATTGGAAAAAAATAAATCTGCGTCTATTTACTTGGTTAGCAGATGCAGAGTGAGCAGGCCGTGCGGGCGGATGTAGATTGAGCAGGCCGTGCAGGTGGATGCGGATTGGTTTGGCGGTTTGGGCTTTACTGTTTTGGGTGTGTTTTCGAACTATTTTTCAATAATTATTTACTATTTTTCACACAAAATTTTTAATTCTTCATTTTTTATAAATAGCAAATATAATTACTAAATAAAAATTCTTTTTTAACACACAAAGTATAAAAGCATAACTTTATTTTCTTAGAAGTATTGGCGGATCGAATTAGGTCAGGTGGCCTCTCATTTGCCATCTATCCGAACTTAGATTGGGAAAAATGCATCCGCATTTGTCCGCTGGGACTATTGAAACCGTCCATTCTGTGGCGGATTGATTTAGGTCATTTTGTTTTGGTGGATCAAGTGGATGCTTGCCCCACCTCTACTGGTTACTACCAAACAAAGATTGGGCCTCGTCTAGGTACCTTTTATTCAAAATGTCTAAAACTTTTATAATGTAAGATTCTTTGATAGATTATCTTTGCTTGTGAAGTATGAAGGTACAAAAAATGAAAAATTCAATATTGACAGCATTATAGGAGAAAGATCAACTCTCATCAGTTTTGCGTGTAATCGTGTTTTTTTTTTACTCGTCTTTGTCTCCGACTCTTTAGAGTATCTCTAATCCAATCCTCTCACTAAGAGGATGAAAATAATTTTTTTTATTCAAAAAGTAAATATAGAGAATGTTACTATTCATTCAAACTCCAACCACAAACCTTCATCTTCCCTTCATCAAAAAGTAATTTTTGTTCATTAACAAATATTTAATTTTAAAATTTTTGTAAAATATATTTAATATTATACTCATTTTAAAGGTATGATTTCATACTTTTTAATGATGCGAATTTTATAAAATTAAATTTACATATTAAAAGTTATTTGTAATATGATAAAAAATATAGAATGTATAGTGTTTTGGAGGGCATCTTCTATTTTTCATCCTCCCTCCAAATATGGAGGATCAACTCATCCTCCTCCCAAATAGAGATGGATTTTGAGGATGGGTTGGAGGAGCAAATCTTTTATATTTGAAGTTATGGAGGATGCATTGGAGATGCTCTTAGAATTCATATTAACAAATGGTTAGTCATAATTTGCCAGACTACTTAACACCTAGATCTTTCCCAGCCCCTTGATGAAACATTTTTTGGTAGTATTGATGCAATTCCCAATTTTCATTTTCAACTCTTTCAGATTGTGCTTTGTTACTAGCGAAGCTTTATGCTTAATTGATATTACCTAGGAAGCACAGATACGGTTTCTGTTTTTTGTTTGTTTGATCATTGGTTGCTTTCTCTTTACACTTGTAGTGTAATCTTGCTCACTAGCTTTGCATGCTTGCTACTTTAGCCCATCATTCTCGCTTATTTTGGCTATACACTAGCATGCTTTTACTCATGTTTTGGCATGCTTTAACTCTGTTTTGAGTGGTTTAGGTCATATGAGTCTTGTCTTGTATGGCTATAGCATGATAGGCTTTAATAACTTTGTGTTTTGAGTCCTCTAGCATGCTTTGCTTGGGTTGTTTGCATGATTTGGCATCATTTAATATGTGATTTTAGAGCATATACCACTGTCGCACTTCCACATATTTCACTCTTCAAGTTTTTTTGAAGAGTTAAGCGTTATGCCTTGTTTGCGAGCCATCATATGAGCATGCTGTTCCTGCTTTTTTTGCTTAAGTGTCATCATGTTTTGGCCACTATTTTAGCATGATTGAGCTCTTTTTTGAGTTGGTTTGGTTGTTTGAGCTCAATATTACATGCTTCTAATGTAATACACTTCACTAGCTTTGGTGCCTTTGGCTATTAACATGTTATGCTTGTATTGCTTGCATGCCTTAAGGTCTTTAGCATACCATCTCAGCACTAAAGCAGCTGCAACCTCCCTTATTTATTCATTTTTCAATTTGATTTGAGGGTTGTTTGGCCTTAAGCTTGTGTTTAAGTATGAAGTTGGGTTTGTGCCCAAAAGGCTTTAACCCTCTTTTGAGGGTTCCTCCTAATCAAAGGGCATAATCCCTCTCATGTCCTAAACCATTCTTTTGGTTGACCTCCTCTCCTTAGAGGACGTGCACATTGGACTTAATCAATTAAGAAATGGTTTGGTAATGTAAATGTGTAAATAAGAATCAAGCAAAGTAAAACATGCCAAGATAACATATGTGTGCTGCATTGCATGTGTTTGGATCGGACGTTAATCCAAACACTAGAAATGTGGCACGTTTCATACTCCAAGTGATGAATCGTGTTGCGTTTCTTGGTCGTTGTCACCCTTGATCATGCATGATAGGGTGACGACACTTAGAGTCCTATGTATGCATTCACTAACATTGTGTAAGCTTGACTCTTTGGCCATCATGCATTGAGATGTGTGGTTGATGGCTTGAGAGCTGAGTACTATGCTCCTTTGAGCTTGAGATATGATAAGGAGGGTAGTTGCACACACATTTTCCTGCAAATACACTATCATGCCTTTGTTTGTACTCTGTTGCAGCAAAAGAAGAAATTGCAGGAATCAGTGGCCGACTGGCCACCAGGCCAGCTGACCGGCCACCAATACTGGCCGATGGCCATCACTTCTAGCTGATCAGTTCATTAGTATGTTCCTGGGATCAAATAGAAGCAATCTGGAAGTTGGCACAATTTTCAGGGGTTTAAAAGTGTGCAAACAGAGGCATCGTGAGTGGATTTCCGAGAGGACACGACCGAGCATTCATGCCTCCTTCGTTTGCAAGGCTATTTTATCTCTTTATTAACCAATTGTAGTTAATTACATGTGCTGTAATTAATTTAGCTTAGTTTACTTTGTAATATTCTAATTTAATTACATGTGTTGTAATTAATTTAGCTTAGTTTATTTTGTAATTAATTAGCTTACTGAAGCTAGTTATTCAATTCGATTTTGTAATAATTAATTAGCTAGAGTAGTTAATTGATTTGTAGTAAGTAGCTTAGCTTAGCATAGCTTAGCCTATCTATTCGAACCCTCCTCCGAGAGGGCAAAATGTTGTAATAAAGGTGCGTGTGTTTATGCATGTCTTCCAACCCCACTTCTTTCTCCCTTTTACTTATCAGCCTTCGATGGTTAGTTTAGGGCATATTCCAATTAGCATCCTTATGCTTGCATGCGTGTATCATTCATTTGTATTGCATGCACCGAGCTCAACGCATCATTCAAACTGCATTATATTTCAATACACTTACTTGAATACGTGTTTCAAAGCATGTTATCAAGTGTTGCATTCATATGCCATCTTAGATAAGCTGAGCCTATTTAGTTGCATTTTGCATGTATTGCATTAGGCATTCTGTATAGTTAGGATCATGCATTGATTTCTAACTAGCTTCTATTTTCGCTTGGAGTAACTGTAAGTGTTTACGCTTTAGCATACTTGCATAAGTGTGAGTGTTGCCATGATAGCATGCTTGCCATGAGGCTATTTGCTTAAGTGCTTAACTGCTTGAATGCCTGTGGGTGGAGGCTGGATTCCCTGAATTCGAACAACTCGACGAATGAGAGTATTAAGCCCACTTTGCGAATTGGCAAATTCATGTTTTAAGCCCACTTAAGGGTGGCAAATCCGCGCTTTAGCCTACTTGCGAGTTGCACTTTCAAACCATTTTCAGAAAAACAAACATGAGTTGTTTTGTTCCAATTCTCGTGATTGAGTCTATACTTGTATGTTGTGCGCATCACATAGTGAGGTAGCTAATAATTGGAATAAGAACGCTTGTGTCTATACAACAACATATCATGCTTAGTAGAGGCCGATCTTTGATCGGGCAAGCGGGGGTGCTCATGTTATGACCTTCCCCTCTCGTACCCAAGTTCTCGAGCCGAGGCAGCTTTTGTGATGACGGACACGTGGCCTTAGGCACGAGTCAGGGTTTCCTAAATTT